TCCTTCCTTCCTTCCTTCCTTCCTTCCTTCCTTCCTTCCTTCCTTCCTTTCTTATTCGTATCCATTTCATGTATTCATAACCATACTTATACTTATACATGTTATCTAATACTTGCTTGACAAATATAAATAAATAAATAAATAAAAAACCTGAGAACTGCCCAGCTGTTTCTTCGGTCAGTTTCGGGGGGGGGGGCGGCTTCCTTTCCCTTCCCTTCCCTTTCCTTCTCCCCCAGTCGCACATGTTTCAAGACCCGCTTGGGGAAAAGAGGGGACCCCCTCCCCCTTCTTCGGCGGCCGATGAGGGAGCCCAGGCCGGCTCTCCTCCTGCGGTTGTCGCATGGTTGGCCCCGCATTGCTGTGACCTCCTCACTGGTCGGAAGGAGTGAAGGGAGGAAGAGAGACAAGCAAGAGGAAAAGGGGAGGGAGGGAGGAAGAGGAGGGAGAGAAGGAGGAAGAACAGAAAAAAGGGGAGGGAAGAAGGGAGAAAGGAAAAGAAAGGAGGGAGGAAAGGAAGAAGAGAAGGAAAGGAAGAAGAGGGAGGGAGGAAGAAAGGAAAAGAAAGGAGAAAGGAAGGGAAGAAGAGGAGGGAGGGAGGAAGAAAGGGAGGGAGGAAGGAAGGAAAAGAAGGGAAGAAGAGAAGGGAAGAAGAGGAGGGAGGGAGGAAGAAAGGGAGGGAGGGAGGGAGGAAGGAAAAGAAGGGAAGAAGAGAAGGGAAGAAGAGAAGGGAAGAAGAGGACGGAGGGAGGAAGAAAAGAAGGGAGGGAGGAAGAAAGGAAGAGAAGGGAGGGAGGGAGGCAGAGAAAGGGAAGGGAGGACGAGAAGAAAGGAGGGAGGGAGGAAGAAAGGAAAAAAAGGGAAGGAAGGAAGGAAGGAAGGAAGGAAGGAAGGAAGGAAGGAAGGAAGGGGGTCGCTGGAGAGTACCAAAGCGCCCCCGACCTCCCCGCACCCGGCTGGTGCAATGCGAATTTGTGGCGGGCCGCTTCGAAAGGGGAACGGGGGTGGGGGGAGGAGAGGGCTGGCTTTGCAAGCAGGATGAGAGGGAGGGGGAAAGGGGGGAAAGATTAAAAAAAAAAAAAGGAGAAGAAGCGGCAGCCGGAGTCTCCGCCCTCCTCTATTACCATAACAACTAAGCCCCGCCAACCCTCCCCCTGACATGCCATTGAGCGGACTGGAGCTGCAGCAGCCGGAGGGCAGCAGGCGAGGGTTGCCCTCCGCGGCGCTCTCACTTTCTCCCTTGCACACACACGCACACAGGGACGCCCGCCCGAGCCAGAGCTCCGCGCGCTTCCCGGGGAAAGTTCGTTCTTCCCGCCGCCAAGCGCAGCCAGCCGAAGGAAAAGAGAAAAGGGAAAGCGGAGACTTTCTCTTCCCTTTCTCTTCCTTTCCCCCTCCTCCTCCTCCAGCCTCCGGGGAGTGCGGGCGGGGGGCACGCCTCTCCTCCTCGCCTTTGACACCCGAGGAAGCCTTGCGAGAAGGAAGGATGGCGTGAGAAGCAGGAGCGGGTAAGGGAGGAAAGAAAGCGAGGGGAGAAAAGCGGGGGAAGGAAGGAAGGAGAGGAGAGGAGGAGAGGAGGGAAGAGAGTAAAGAAGACAGGAGGAGAGAGGGAAGGAAGGAAGGAAGGAAGGAGGGAAGGAAGGAGGACGGGAGGGAGGAAGGAAGGAAAGAAGGAAGACAGAGGGAGAAAGGAAAGGAAGGAAAGAAAGAAAACAGAAGGAAGGAAGGAAGGATAGATCTGGAAATTCTCCAAGTTTAGTCGGAGAGCAGCCAGCCAGGAAGAAGTCTGGGCGCCCCGAAGAAGAGAAAGCAAAAGCCGCCGGCTGTGCCTCCTCCTCCTCCTCCTCCTCCTCTCCCGGCTGGCGCCCGCCTCGCCTCGCCCGGCCGCCGGCTCCCTCGGCTCCGCCGCCGCCATGGCCCAGGAGAACGGCGAGGAGCGCGGCTCGTCCTGGAAGAAACCCGCCGAGGACATCGGCCGCATCTTCGCCTTCAAGGAGACCCTGGGGACGTAAGTGCGGGGCGCCCCTCTCGCCATCCTTTGGGGACCGGGAAGGGCGGTGTGTGTGTGTGTTTGGGGAGGGTGCTGCACTTGGAATGGGGTGGGGTGGGGGAGATGCGAGTCCTGAGCTCGGGGTCCGACTTGGGGCCAGCGGTGGAGTTGGGTTGGCCCCCTTGTTGCTTGGCCAGGTTGGGGTGGGGAGGGTTGAAAAATCACCTCCCCCTCCCCGGAATAGGAGACCCCCCTGGATTCTGGAGAAGGGGGGTGGTAGCCCTTCCCCACCTCCTCCTGAGGCCCTCCCACCCCCGCCCAGCTGCTCTAACTTAGAGAGGAGATGTCTCACCCAATGTGCCACCAGGAAGTCCTCCTTGGGTTGAAGCCAATGGAGGAGGCATCTGAGGAGGCTTCCTCCCCATCATCGGTGGACCCAGCCACCTTTTCTTCCTGGCCTTAAATCTGCTTAAGGTAGCCTTGGGCTCCACCCCTCCACTCCCCAACCCGGAGTTTTCGAGCTTTGAAGCGGGTTCCTCTCGCAGAACAGGATGGTGTATTGCCCTTGTGGTGCCTCTGCGACAACCGGAGAAGGCCGGTTTGGGTAGTAGTTGTAGTAGCCAAATCTCTCAAGGTTGTTTCCCCCATGGAGGGTGGGGTGTGTGTGAGAGTCTATCTAGAGATCTCCCCCCCCACATTACCACATGTGTCTATTTCAGTCAACTGTCCTCTGTCCACACTTGGCATGGAGATGTTGAGTCCAGGAGGTGTGTGTTCCGTTGTGTTGGTTTACGTGGACTGGACACCACACTGGCTTTTTTGGGCAGAGAAGAGGGGTGGCCTTGGTGAGGAAGGAAAGGGTGGTGTGTGATTTTGATGTCCAAGGGGGGGG